CGACTTACGATCACAAATTGGGACCGGAAGTTCCATTACTAAGTGGTTGCTAAGTGAGTCATCGTGTGACCATGCCGGATTTCACAGTCTTTTTTGTCCTAAGCCAGTGGTGGAGAACCTATGGCAGGTGTGCCAGAGGCGGCACTCAGAGTCCTCTCTGTGGGCACGCGTGCCATGCCCCGGAGATGGCAACTGTCCTCTTCAACCAGCCGCCCGCTAACTCGCCGAGGTCTCACGTGGCTGGATGCATCCCAGAACCCATGCGCTCGCTGGCCTCTGTGTGCAGGGACTGATGGTGTCAGGCCACAGCTGCCCCGGCCCCTGCCTCATCTTGCCCTGTGACAATGGCACCCCCGCCCTGCCTCGCCTTGCCTCGCCTTACCCCGCAGGATGAACCTCCTGCCCACCGCCCCACCTGCCAGAGACCCCCTGGATCTCCCCCAATCCTGCCCAGCTCCCACAGGGGTCCCTCCCCATGAGCAACATCGAGGTGATCATGCCCACCTTGGCCACACCCACCCAATCTGCCATGACCACCACAGCCATGCCCATCCAGTGGGCCATGCCCGCTTGGCACCCGGCAATAAATAAGTGGGTTTTGGGTTGCAGTTTAGGCACTCGGTCTCTGAAAGGTTCGCCATCACTGTCCTAAGCAATTATGCAATCATTGTGGTTGTTAAGCACATCTGGCTTCCTCCCATTGACTTTGCTCAACAAGAGCTGGCTGGGAAGGTTGCAGATGGCCATCATGCGACCTTGGGGTGCTGCAATCATTGTAGTATACATGCTGTTTGCTCAAATCATGATACAGGGATGGTGGTTAGCACAAGAACCGTTCATAAGTCACTTTTTTCCAGCACTGTTATAACTTTGAACAGTTGCCAAAGGAGGACTAAATAGAGGAGTACTTGTAAAGGTTCTCCAGGCGTTGGTAGAGCACAGGAGTGACCTTAAAAAAAAAATCAGTTTTGCAAAACAACTTGGTTCATTTAAGGAAAGATTTCCCTGTCCCCCCCCCCCCCCCCCCCCCCCGAATCTGGCGCAAAAGAACTTCCAGATCCAGGAACGTATCTTGAGGAACTGAAGAGAACGAGAGGAAGAAGGCTGAAGAATGATGGCTCCTAAGTTGGTTCCTAAGTCTGCAAGAAGGATCAATAGTTTGCAATTGTGGCAAATATCCGTAGCTCGGGTGTAGGATGAGGGTGAAGGTTCATTTGCTCCGAGCTTGTGGGTTGGTTTCCGAACGTTTTGTTACCAGGCTGGGTAACATCTTCAGTGAAGTTTAGGGAATGTCAGTGTTCTTTTGTTTATGAGGGCTTCAGGTGTGTCAAGTGAGGGTTTTGTGATGGGTCAGGTGTGAGTCATTAGAGAATCTTGTGATGGGTCTTGTGATGGGGAAGTTGCTCCAGGTCAGGATCATTGGGAAGTGAACTGCTGGTGTGGGAGGAGGGGGCTTGTGGGGGTTGGTTGAGGGTCACGGTTGGCTGTGCAGTTGATTTGGATCCTGAAGGGTTCCTAGGCTGGTTGTAGATCAGTGTGTCTGTTGATGGAATTGCTTGTGGAGTGCCAGGCTTCGATGAACTGATGGGTGTGGCGGGTGGTAGCGTGGCCGATGATTTTAGTGTTGTTCCAATCGAACTGGTGTTGTTTGGTGTCAGTGTGGGTAGAGATTAAGGATTCGGGATCGTGGCGTTTGACTGCCAGCCGGCGTTCATGGATCCTGGTTTTTAATTGACGTGATGTTTGTCCCACCTAGAACAAGACCCTCACTTGACACACCCACACCTGAAGCCCTTATAAACAGAATAACACTGACATCCCTTAAACTCCATTGAAGATGTTACCTAGCCTGGTAAGGAAACTTTCAGAAGCCAACCCACAAGCTCATCAAGGATCAATAGATCAGGCTGGGATCAAAGAAAGATGAGGATCGAAAAGGAGAATCTCATGAACTTTGGGCATGGGATATGATAGATGATGTACTGTGAAGGAGGTACTTGATGAGGTCAGTATTTGAAGCCCAACAGAGGGACATCTAAGGCACACAAATATAGCAAATAAAATTACCATGGAGACACACACACACACACACACACACACACACACACATATAGCTTCCACTATGAGTCTCCTTCTCCCTAGAAATTGTTCAAAGTTGTGTCTATTCATGTCTTCTTAAGGACTTTCTGTATAAAGATAGTCTTTGGCTTACAACCATTTGTTTAGTATATGTTCAAAGTTACGACGGCCCGGAAAAAAGGGACTTATGACCTGTTTTCACACTTACAACATCGCAGCACATCCCCCCCCATGGTCCTATGATTAAAATTTGGGCATTTGGAAAATGTATCTATTTATGACAACTGCAGTGTCCCAGAGTCATGTGATCATGATTCGTATCTTCCCAGCTGGCTTCCAACAAGCGAAGTCAATGGGGAAAGCCAGATTTGCTTGATAGAATAGAATACACCTGGAAGGGACCTTGGAGGCCTTCTAGTCCAGCCTCCTGCTCAAGCAGGAGAACCTATACCATTTCAGACAAGTGACCGCATGATTCACTAAACAATTGCAGTGATTCACTTGCCAATCGTGGCACAAAAGTTGTAAAACGGAGCACAACTCACTTAACAACTATCTTGCTTAGCAACAGAAATGTTGGGCCCAATTGTAGTAATAAATCAAGGACTACCTGTAATAATAATAATAATGATGATGATAATAATGATAATAATGATAATAATGATGATGATGATGATAATAATAATAGTAATAATAATAATAATAATAATAATGATGATGATGATGATGTTGGAAGGGACCTTGGAGGTCATCAAGTCCAACCCCCTGCTCAGGCAGGAAACCCTACACCATTTCAGGCAAATGGCTGTCCAGTCTCTTCTTAAAAACTTCCAGTGTTGGAGCATTCATCACTTCTGGAGGCAGGTTGTTCCATTGGTTAATTGTTCTAACTGTCAGGAAGTTTCTCCTTAGTTCTAGGTTGCTTCTCTCCTTGATTAGTTTCCATCCGTTGCTTCTTGTCCTGCCTTCAGGGGCTTTGGAGAATAGCTTGACTCCCTCTTCTTTGGGGCAGCCCCTGAGATACTGGAATACTGCTATCATGTCCCCCCTCGTCCTTCTCTTCGTTAAACTAGACATACCCAATTCCAGCAGCTGTTCCTTATATGCTTTAGCCTCCAGTCCCCTAATCATCTTTGTTGCTCTTCTCTGTACTCTTTCTAGAGTCTCAACACCTTTTTTACATCGTGGTGACCAAAACTGGATGCAGTATTCCAAGTGTGGCCTTACCAAGGCATTGTAAAATGGTATTAATACTTCTTTACGTGATCTTGATTCTATCCCTCTGTTAATGCAGCCCAGGGCAAAACTTTCTCAAAGAGATATGGCAGGTCAAGGACTTGTGGGTGGAGATGGTATCGCTCCATCAGATGTTGTACCTGCAGCCTCTTTGGCCCAGGATGAGTAACAGCATGTTTGTAAGTCCAGGACTAATCGTATGGCTAAGAACCGCAGGAACAAAATATTGCATTTCCTTCTTAATCACCTCTATTGATTACCACTAATCATCATACATATGTTAATTTATGGCTATGACTATATATATTTTTTCTTTTGAGAGAGGGCATCAGAATTCCATTTTTTTTAATGTGTGCCGGTGCATTCGCAGAAAAAAGTGACAGTAAAGGTCTTGTTTTATCTTATCTTATTCTCCTTGTATTAGAGCCAATGAGGAAGTGGGGGGGAAGAATAGAAAAAGAACATCTTATTTCCCGAAATGTCCAAAGGTGCTTTTTCAGGCGGCAACTGGCCTTTCTTGTTTTTCTTTGAAGACGTTCTTTGAAGTGGCGAATGGAAGGATCATCCCCATCCAGTCAGAGCTGAAGAAGCTTCTTGGATGAGAAGCGAAATGTCTTCAAAGGAAAAACCAGAAAATCCAGTTGCCTCGTGGAATAAAAAGCACCTTTGGGACAACAACCGTGACCTGGATGACTGAGAATCTCCATAGACCAGCGGTTCTCAACCTATGGGTCGCAACCCCATTTGGGGTCGATCGACCATTTCACGGGGGTCGCCAAGCAAAGCTGTCCGCCATTTTTTTCCCCTTTTCCGGCGGGTGCCTTACCTCCCTTGAGCTGGGCCAGCTGGTGGTCGGCCTGCTCCGTCTCTGCCGCTTGCCAGCTACGCCTCGGCCGGCACAGGGGGCGGAACCACGCATGCGCGGCGCTCCCGGGCAGGGAAAGTCCTTGACTTACAACCGGTTTAGTCCTCGACTTACGACCGGTTTAGTCCTCGACTTACGACCGGTTGGGGGTCGCGGCATTAAAAAGGTTGAGAACCACTGCCATAGACATTATTTCCCCAAATCTAAGCAAAACTTTTAAGAGCTTTTTTTCTCTCCATAAGCACAGCCGGCCAGTGTAAAAAAATAAAATCGACTTTAAAAAAAAATATCGGAAGGTTTTACAGGAAAGTTAGGCTAGGGAGAAGTGATGAACAAAGGGGGGAAATTCCCTCTTCTGACAAACGTTACGCGACGGATGATTGAAATCTATTGATAGATATTCAGAGACGGGGATTTCTGGAAGCAAGGAAGCAGCACCGGCATCCACGCACGTTCGCACCCTGGCCGGCCGCGTGTGCCGCGGTGACGCGTCAGTGGAAATCCTCGCTTCCCACCGCGCCTCCTTCCCGCCCGGCTCCTCTGCCTCGACGCTCCCTCCTCCCGCGCCCCTTTAGCCAGGGGGAATGAATGAAGTGGGCGGAGCGGATCCCCTGGCTGTGACGAGAAGGCCCGGGTCGCCCGGGGCAACCTTTGTTGCCGGCACGGGAAGCCACCCGATTGGCCGGCGTCTTTATGACGACACGTTCTTTCTGTTTAGAAGGCCGGCCGAGCCTCCGGTCTCTCCGCAGAGCAACGCGATTCCCTGGAGGAACCTTCGGAAGCGGCGGGAAAAAAAAAAAAAGAAAAAGAAAAAGTCACCGACTCGCATCATGGCCAACCAGCGGGAAGAAAGGTCAGCGTGGGGACGTTACTATTTAACCGGGTTGCTCCGGGGAGGATGGATTGCGGGAAACGGGGAAGGTCCTCGCTGGAATAATTACGGTCCAGCTGTCTCTGATCCGAGGGCTGCTTTCTGATGTGTGTGTGTGTGTGTGTCTGGATTACAATTCCCATTATTGCCGGCCGCAGATGGGAGTAGTCATCCGACACGTCTGGATGGCCTCGGGGTGGTGAACGCGATTTTAAGGAGTCCCGGCTTCGGGGGGGGGGGGGGAAGAGGGAACATCAGCGGATGTTTTTCAGCATCTTTTCTTTTTTTTTAAAGAGGCAATTCGCGAAGGACCCCTATATTTTATCTCATGCTTTTGAATGGGTGGATGTTGTAAAATTTACCAATTTATAATGTAAAATAATCTGGGGGGGGTTTAATCTTCAGAAGAGTCTGGAGAGGTTGGGTAGATTATTACTGTTATTATTACCATTGCGGTGGCTGCTATGTAGAATCTCGCCTTCTAGCTGAACTCAAGTCCGTTGGTCTATTACAGGGGTAGGCAACCTTGGCTCTTTTATGACTCGTGGACTTCAACTCCCAGAATTCCTGAGCCACCTGGCTCAGGAATTCTGGGAGTTGAAGTCCACGAGTCATAAAAGAGCCAAGGTTGCCTACCCCTGGTCTATTAGGACAGATTTGTGTAATTGTCTTGGTTACCCGTTCCTCTTCATTGATGGTTCTTTGAATTCAGTCTTGGCCACCTTCCTCAACCTGAGCAACTTTAAGATGTGTGGACTACAACTCCCAGAATTCCCTAGCTAGCAGCTGGAGAATTCTGGGAGTTGAAGTCTGCACATGTTAAAAGTTGCCAAGGTGGAGAAACATTGGTGTAGACTACAACTGTGACCTTTCCCCGTGGTCTCCCATCCCAGAAATCAAGGTCAGGTCCTGATTCCCCCCCTAAAATCAGCTGTGGGCTGCTATCCTCTGTGACATTTTCATCACTGCTAGTAGTAATAGAGGTAGTAGCATTCCCTTACAGCAAAGTTAAGCAGTGCATGGACCAGAAGCCTCAGAGTTGACACAAACTCCCAATTTTAAAAATTATTTTAATCTGCTCATCTTTTGGGGCGGAGGGAGGAGGGGGGTCCTCTTCTGAAGCATCCTCTCTGTTCCTATTATTATTGTGTTCCTTATTCCTTTGCTGAGCTCCAGCCTCAGCTGTGGAAAAGTTCTTTGGGATATTTGGAGTTTGAGTGGGGAGAGAAAATTGAGCTAGGGACTTAAGAAGTGGGCTCAAGAAGTGGAAATCATAGCAAGTACATTACTGTTATTGATCAATTACATTCCTGAAGTAGCATGGAAACATCTATGTAGCTTCTTTAGACCGAAAGATCCTATGTAAACACTTCATGTTCCAAATTTAATTTGCATATTTTATCCCACCTCTCCAACAAGCAGCTAGCTCCCTCCTGCTTCTTTATTCATAACAGCCCTGTCAGGTAGGCTGAGGTTACAAGTAGCTTTAATTTTCCATATATGAGAGGCAGAATTGGTTGTGCCTAGCCTTCCATCACCTACTACTCTCCCCACTGTATGCCAGGACTAGCTAGGAATTCTGGGAGTTGAAGTCCTAAAGCAGGGGTGTCAAACTCACAACGTCACATGATGTGTTGCACTGCCTGCGGGCTGGCAGTTTGACACCCCTGTCCTAAAGGATCTGGAGACCATTAAGTTGCAAAGATGTTTCTGGTTCAATTTGCTCTTCTTTGCAACCTGTAAAATGAGTAAGTGCTGTTATCAATCTGCTTCAGGGTGTGTGCATGTATTTGTGCCCATTAGGCTTTCAAGAAGGCATTGAATTCATGTCTGAAATGACCTTTTGCCTTTCTTGCTAATACGTGCAATTAAAACAGGCAAGAAACAGGCAAGGGATGAGTGAAACAGTGAACATCCGTTTGAGGTGCGTGCTAATATGATGCATCGTAATGAAAACTGATTTTTTTCTCTGGGCTCTGAACCAATTTGAGTCAAAAGAAAACTTGAGTCATTTTTTAATACGGAAGGAGACTGAGAAGTTTTATGACTTCCAGTTCCTAAATTGCTCAACGGTGTCTTGATGTGGTTTCTTTATGCTTCTGCCTGTGAAAACTGAAATTCTTATTTTTCCCCTCACTATTTGAGAATGGAAAGCCCGAGAATATTGAGGTTTCCAGAGTTTGCCTACGTGATTTGGGGAAAAAGTACTCTGTACTAGGTTAAATTTCCCTCAAAATTGAAGGACAGGTCCTTGTCACGTGACTGCTGGTTTCCCAGGCCAATTTTTTTTTAATGAAGTTTGATTTTAATTAAGATGCCCAATTGTTCCAAATTCTAGAAAGCAAATATTGTGAGGTTCTCTTGAAACAGAATGCCGTGGAAAAACCCAATGAAAAAGACAGACAGCAGCACAAAACAATAATTCTTACTTTAAGATTCAGAGGTTTATTTTGCTAATAATTTGGAACATAGCAAGCATAATAACACAACATCACTTACATTAATAACCCATTGCAATGAGGACCATATGGTATAACATATTCCAAAAGGACAGCTATAGGCCAATGGCAAATCAATCAGGTCCAGTCCCAAACCTTTATACCCTTTTTCCTTCTAAGACTGTAGTCCAGTGATGGCGAACCTTTTAGAGACCGAGTTCCCAAACTGCAACCCAAAACCCACTTATGCATCGTCAGGTGCCGGGTGGGTGTGGCCCATTGGGTGGACGTGGCTATGGTGGTAACAGCAGACTGGGTGGGACTAAAAAGTTAAATCAATCAATTCCAACTTTGCAAGATCTTTTTTTTCCCACAAGAAGTTGAAATTGACTGATTGATTGAATCTTTTTTTTTTGTACATGGTGGCGGAGGCCTAAAGCGAAAAGGTTTTATAAAACCCAGCTGAAGGTCTAGGACTGGGGCGACGGCGCACATGCCCACAGAGAGGGCTCTGAGTGCCACCTCTGGCACCCGTGCCATAGGTTCGCCACCACTGCTGTAGTCAGATGGTCTGCTGACTTTTGCTGACTTTTGCTGACTTCCTGCTCACCTTCTGCTGAAAATAACTTTCCACATATACCTGTGTACATTGGAACTCCCATCCATCAGCTACTTTCAGTTCCTCTTTTCCCACGATTATAATACGTTCCAAATATACACAGAACTACCTACTTTGCAATTTCATATTGCACAGAGCTCAGCAGATTACGAATAGTACGTCCTTATTGAGAAACCGCAGAAAGTTCAAGTTGAAGCTTCAAATCACTTCTGTGGGGCCCTATTTCAGGTTTGTTCTAGCCTACAGGTCGGCAACTTGCGGCTCCAGAGCAGCTAGGCCAGTGGTTCTCAACCTGTGGGTCGGGACCCCATTTGGGGTCGATCGACCATTTCATGGGGGTCGCCAAGCAAGGCTGTCCGCTATTTTTTTGTCCGCCATTTTTTCCCCCTTTTCCAGTGGGTGCCTTACCTCCCTTGGGCTGGGCCAGCTGGTGGTCGGCCTGCTCCGTCTCTGCCGCTTGCCAGCTACGCCTCGGCCGGCGCAGGGGGCGGAACCACGCATGCACGGCGCTCCCGGGCAGGGAAAGTCCTCGACTTATGACCGGTTGGGTAGTCCTCGACTTACGACCGGTTTAGTCCTTGACTTATGACCGGTTTAGTCCTCGACTTACGACCGGTTGGGGTCGCGGCATTAAAAAGGTTGAGAACCACTGTGCTAGGCTGACTCAAGAATTCTGGGAGTTGAAGTCCATGAGTCATAAAAGAGCCAAGGTTGCCTACCCCTTGAGCTTGTTGGAGAACAGCTTGAAGCCAGCTTGCCAGGTGAGCAGAAGATCGGAGAGAGGGAGAGAAAGGGGGAGAGAGANAGAGAGAGACAGAGACAAAGAGAGAGACACCCTTCTGACATCTAAAATGAAGATAACACTGCATATATCTTTTTTTTACCTTTATGATAAAGGTTATCTTGTTATCTTCATTTTAGATATCAAAAGGGTTTTGCGGCTCCCAGTGTTTTGTTTTCGGTGGGAAACGGGTCCAAGTGGCTCTTTAAGTATTTTGGGTTGCCTACCCCTGTTCTAGCCCTATCTTATTATATGAGAAGGGGGCTATATTTTCATCTCCCACAAGAATTAAGAGAAAGGTAAGTGGAGAGAAAAGTGAAAAACCCAAAATTTTTACATCCCAACTAGATCCCAAGGCACATTTAGTATGTTTTTCTTTTTTAAAAAATTTATTTACAAGCAAGAACTGACTTGCAACCGGTTGTTTAATGCCCTTTCCAAGTTATAACGGTACTTCTGACCACTGACCATTTTTCACACCACTCACTGCAACATCCCCATGGTCACGTGATCAAAATTTGAGTGCTTGGCAGCTGGCATGTATTTATGACACTTGTATTGTCCTGGGGTCGCGTGAAACACAAAATAAAAATGTGATCACCACTTGTAACCCTCACACCAACTTCCAACAAGCAAAGTCAATGCAAGAAGACATTTAATGACTGTATGATTCACTTAATAATTGCAGTGATTTATTTAACAACTGTGGCAAAAATTTTGGGCTCAGTTGTGGTCAGAAGCTGAGGACTACCTTGTATTTTATGCTTGCACAATTAACAAGGCAAACTTTAATCTTTAAGAAAATACAAATTGAAACTGCCAGTTAAGAAAAGGAAGCAAAATCTAGTTTATATTTTATTATCAATAATCACTGGTTATTTTATCAGGACCTTGAGTATGGATATAACTTCAGAGATTTATCACTGTCCTTGGGAGATCTGCATCAAGGGAGAAATAGACATAAAAATGTTGGCAAGGATCTAGAGTTCAAGGTTTGAACTCCTGTTCCTCTTGTACTTCGCTGTCTCTGTTTAACTCTGGCTTGATATTAGATTTATGGTTAGTCCATGTTAGTGGAGAGGAACATCTTAAATGGGTAATATTTCAACAAAAGAGAAGCAAAGGCTATGGCTTTGTTGATGAG